TCTGCAGCATGATACAGCCACACAAAAAACCAATGCAGATTTGGGATGTATCAATAGAAGCATTAGGCATAAGACACAGGAAGTAATAGTGCCTCTCTGCTTGGTACTGGTTAGGCTTCATCTGCAATATTGTGTGCAGTTCTGGCATCCACATTTGAAAAAAGACAAGAAGTTAGAGAGGGTCCAGCGGCAGGCAGTAAAGATGATCAAGGGCTTAGAAGGCAAACTATACAAGGAGAGGCTGAAGGAGCTAGGCATGCTCAGCTTGCAGAAATGGTGCTTGAGAGGGGATGATAGCTGTCTTCAAATATTTGAAGGGCTGCCTTAAAGAAGAGAGAAAGCACCTTTTCTCTCTTGCTGCAGAGAGGAGGATGCAGACTTTTAGTTGCAGCAAAGTAAATTTAGACTGGATATCCAGAAAAACTTCTTCACTGTTAGAATAGTAAATCAGTAGAATAGACTGCCTAGGGAAGTCGTGGACTTTCCATCACTGAAAGTGTTCAAGGATAGGTTGGACGGCCACTGGTCAGATAGGATCTAGGTGTAGCTATGCCTGTGTTGTACTGGGTGTGTTTCCCATGCTTCTGGGCTTAGCTGTTTGATCCTGCCCCCACTTTACTTTTTTCTGCTATATGTCAGGGTGTTTTTAAGCTTTCCCAGAGTCACTGGGTGTTGGTTACAGCTAAGACTGGCAACTTGACCTGGGGTGTGCTGCTTCTCCTGCTAGGAGAAAAGCTGGAGGTTCCTGGCTGGAGGGTCTTGCCTCTCCGCTCTGGGTGAGACTGATAACTGTATTTGGAGTCAGGAAGGAATTTTACCCCATAGTCGGATTGGTATGGACTGTGGGAATTTTTGCCTTCCTCTGTAGCAGAGGGTATGGCCCTCTACCTGGGACCTCTTGAGCGTATACTGGCAACCTTTTATACAAGCAAGGCATTAGCTGCTGTGGCTCCCTTGCTTTACCTGTGACAGGTTAGGGCATTAGGTCTGTGTTGTGTCAGGGTTCATAGTAGTCGTATGTAAAGTTTAGATTATGGTTATATGGGATGGTTGGGCTAGGGATGATCCTATCTTAGGGGGTTGGACTAAATGGACTTTGGAGGTCCCTTCCAGCCTTACTTTTCTATGACTCTATGATTAGTTAAATGGATGGAGAGCAGTGGGGAAAGTCTCTGCCTCATTGGAAGCCCAGAAACCCTTCCTCCTGTAGGCCAGCATCCATTTCACTGAGCCACATGGCCCCTGGCTGTATGTATGTCAGTCTCTGAGCTGCCCTGGGAGACCAGCTTCAAAAAGGGTGCTGGAGAAGGCTCTGGATAATATCTGACCCCTGGTGTGGTAGTCAGACTGCTGTGATGGAAAGTCAGACATATAGGTTCAAAGTCCCTCTGGAACCCATGTCTCTGGCTTCCTGCATAAGGACTGTGAGCACTCAGCCACTAGAGCTAAAACACGGGAAGAGCCCGCAGATGCCTGTGTGCATCCACAAGGAGTGCACATACATAGCTGTTTACCGACCTGGCCAGTACATGCTCGCTCTGTGCACACACACTTAAGTGTCCACACTCCTGGGGAAATAGGGTTGTTGCCTATGCCCCAGTAGTATTTTTGACCCTTATATGGCTAAAAGAACCCTCTGCTGCTTAGAAATGCAAAGGGAAACAGAATTCCAGCCTTGGTGTTCTTACTTCAATATCCTAGAAAAATTATTCCTTGCTACTGTAAATAAGCATACTGAAAATAGCTGCTCTCCTTAATTAGTACATTGAGGCTTTGTCTTACCCTCTAAAACAGTGTCGGATTAATTCAGTGAGACCCCTAGATCAATAAAATATCTCTTTCTGTATCAAGTGGCTCCTGCTTTTAACATGTTTTTAAAATAAAAGACAATAAGCTAATGGAATATTTTGACTATTATAGTATCTCATAACATGACATCATGACCTTATATGACATGACCTGACTTGACGTGGTTTGTCACATTATATTATGTTCTACTGTCAATGAGATGTAATGACCTAATGTGCAAATCAGCATTTTAAGAACACAAAATAAATTCCACAATGGATTATCTTACATTTCCCTGTGGCAAAACCTCTTTCATTTAAAATACTATTTTTTTTTCTTCTGTGGCAGACTTGCCAACAGAGCCCAACATCAGGCTTGAGAAATCTCCAATGTGATTGGTGAAGCATTTCCACCAATCAGGAAGGGATGGGGAGCAGTCTGCCTGAGAGTCTGGACCTAATTGTGAACTGTGCTTTTCAGGTCTGACAGACTTCAGGGGTGGAGCCCCCGGAGAGAATAAAAGGAGCAGCATGCCCAGCACACAGCAGATGCATCAGGACAAAGAAACAAGCAGGGCTAAGAAGAGCTGGGGAGAGCTGCCCAGCAGGCATTTCCAGTTGCCCTGAAGAAGCCCCGAAGACTCCCTTCACCAGAGAGACTTGGCGATTGGCACCAGCTCAAGGTGGTGCATGGGTCAATGCACAGAGCCCAGACCCTGGCAGCTGCTTGAGGCAGCTCAGGGTGCAACCCCTGGCAAGCGGCCAGGAGTGCAGCGCGTGGGCCGGTGCATGGAGCCCAGGCTCTGGGAGCCACATGAGGCGGCTCAGGTCTCCAACCTCTAGCATGCGGCCAGGGCCCGGTGCAGGCAGTGCTGCACGGCAGATCCCGAGCAGGGACCAAGACTCTGGGAGCCATTCAAGGCTGCTCAGGTCCATCACTCCTGACACACGGCCAGGATCTCACACGAGCGGTGTATAATAGGCCTGTGTGAAGCAGCTAGTATTCGTTTCGGATTTGGCCAATTTGGGGACAGTGATTCAATTTGGTGATTCAGATCACTGTCCCAAATCAATTTTCCTAAATCTGATTTGGAGATTCAGCTGCTGCCGAATCTCTGAATTGCACAAGCCTGTCCCCTGCCCCTCTCCCAGCCTGGCAATGGCTGCCCCACCCGCCCCAGCTCCTGGCACTTTGAAAAAAAAGCCCCAATTCCCCGCTGCCCCCCACTGTCCCATGCTGCATAGGGGGCTCTGTCACAAGCCCCCCCTGCTGTCTCAGGCCCCCCCATGGCTGCCCTGCCTGCCCCAGCTCTGGCCCTTTAAGAAAAAACAAAACAAAAAACCCCAGACTCACTGGTTCCTGCCTAGTGGGGGGCGATCCCTACTGCCCCGCACCATGTGAAGGGCTCTTCCACAAGCCCCCCAAAGCCTTGAGGCAGCTGCAAGAGCTGGTGAGTTTGTGGTTTTCGGGGGGGGGGGGTTGTTAAAGGGCCAGAGCTGGGGTAGCCGGGGCAGCTGTGGGGGGTGCCAGGAGAGCAGGGGAGGGTAGTGAGGTTCATAGAAGAGCCCCTCATGAAGCATGGGGTAGTGGGAGGCAGCGCGGATCACCCCCCTGCCAGGCAGCACCCATTGAGTAGGAGATTTTTTTTTAAAGCACTGGGAGCTGTGGCGGGCGGGGCAGCCAAGGGGGGGCTGAGGGAGCGGCCAGGGGGCTGGAGGGCTGGGGGAGCAGTCGTGGGATGGGGCCTGGCAGGAATCCCCCCATGGTCCCTGCTCCCTTCCCCTGCCCCCTACTTACCAGCTCTGAGTCCAGCTCCTTGCTGCAGAGGGTGGGGACTGCCCAAATCATCAAAGTTCTCTGAATCTTTTCTGAATCTATTTGGAGTGCTTCAAATCAATCCAGACCTTTTTATTGGGCCCCTGATTCATTTTGGATTTGGAGATTCAGTCACCGAATCAGGCCAAATCTCCTCCAAATCGAATCAGCACCTGAAGCTTTGCACAGCCCTAGTGCACAACTAGTCCCCATGTGGAGGACTGAGCCCCGGTGTCACATAAGGTGGCCTGAGCCTGCGACCCTGGACAAAAGGTTGAGCTCTTGGTGCACAGGGCCATGGACAGGCAAGAGCCCAGGAGGCTCCTGCCAGATAGGAGCAACGTACCTATGAGCGAAGACTCCCCCCTGCGAACCAGTGAATTGTGAATTGCCCGGGGAAAGGGATTCTCACAGGGGAGGGGGAGTTACCCAGGTGGTAAGGCTGAAGGGAAGCCCAGACAAGGGAAGGCTTCCTTAGGTCAAGGGGTGCTCTGAGGGGACGTCCCTAGAGATCTTGTTGGGGCCTGGGAAAGCATTGAAGGATTATGGATACCTGATATTGCTGCACCTCATATTTTATATATTATTATACTTGTAAATTTATAGTTATAAGATCTTTGCTGGGCCTCTGCTGGACCCTGTACCAACTATTTGCATTTAGTGATTTTTTTCCCCTATTCTTACCTGCACATACCTGTACCTATTTGTTGTCCTCCTGTATCTCCCTATGTTTATCAGTTTTAGGCCACCTGTTTACCCATGCAGGGCCTGATGCCCTTCTGAGGTAGCATAGATCCTTAAGATATAGTATCACATAAGAAGTGTGCATTTTATTTATAGAGATGTAAATTAGGGCTGTGCAAAATTTCACTGGCTGTTTCGTTTCGACACTGTTTCAACTCATTTTGAGCTCAAAACAGCAAAATCAAATTGAAACAAAGGGCTTTGAAACAGCTTTGAAACAAAACGAGGCTAGTCAAAACGTTTCAAAAGTTTCAAAGCAGCCAGGTGGTGGGAGGCGGGGACGGACCACGGCTGCGCTCAGCGCTAATGTAAATATGTACAAATTTTGATATTTTATTTTTATATTGTGTAATATTGTGCCTTACATTTTGTGTACCTCTATATTTGTGTCTTAGTAGTTTAGCAGAGTCCAAAACCCTGCTTGGAGAATCCGCTGGGACCCCTTGCTGTCACTTACCTGTGTTTACCTGTCACTTACCTGAAACCCCAGTGGTGGTGATCCATTGTAAAGAATAAGGTTTATAGTTATGTATATCCGAGTATATATACTGTTATACATATATATCTGTACCTATGTTTATATGTATGTCTATTTTTGTGCATTAATGTAATTATTAATACATTTGTATATAGTTTTAATATTGTCCTGGCCTGGCTCTGTAGGGAGTGGGGAGACTGTACTTAGCTTGCAGTTCTCTCCCACAGCACCTCTACCTACTGACAATCTCCTTTCATCAGAAAGGGGAGTACATACCCTGGGTATACCTGGGCTACACTTCTTTTTTTGCAGGAACTCATGTCTAAATACAATTTAGCAAAAAATATCAATTTTGTTGAAATGACAGTTTCTGACAGAAAACTGTCTTCATGAAAACTTTGGATGGATCTCCTGTACATGAGCTGGTCAGGGGTGTCCAACTCATGTGGCCCTGCATGTCAGATCTGGACCACAGAGCTCCTTGCAGCTCCAGCGTCAGCGCACCAGCTTTGCAGCACAACTGCCAGAGCCGCTGCATTAGCACAGCTCCAGAACCCAGCAGGGTGAACGTCACTGCTGCTCCCCTCCCCTTCCCCTGCCACCAGTTTCAGTCACTAATGCAGACCAAAGACCCTACAAATTCAGTAGTGAGCAAAGGGTTTGGGGGGCAAGCAGCAGCAGCATTCACCCTCTGGATTCTAGAGCCACACCAGTGGAGCAATGCCAGCAGCTGTGCTGGCAACACCTGCTGCAATTTAACCCCATGGGCAAACACTTGGACAGCCCTGATCTAAAGCAGTGATGAGAAACTCCTGATTGTGGCCCCATCAAAAGCATTATTTTCTTCCCAATTGCAATTTCCAAGTGGATAATAAGCCATAGATTTTAGCACAGGCTCCCAGGCTGTTTACTTTTCATCACTATGTAGCTCCACTGTGGTCAGCAGAACTGCACCAGTGTCACACATCACAAGCAGAGGATCAGGCCCTAATGATCCTCAAAAAAGGTTCATATTTTACAGCCCAGTCCTACTTCCATGAATGCCAATGGAAATTCAGCCCTGAATTTCAGCCCAGGAACGGTCCTAAGTGAATAAACGATTCAGGTTTGTCTTGATAAGGAGACTCTTCCAATTCACAGCTAGAAGAGGAAATCAGCTGGTCCAAAGATGCCTGTGTGCACAAACTCTTTGCTATTGAACTCTGACAGTGGACATGGGGCTTTCAGATATTTAAGAGCAATACCTTGCCTCAAGAAAATTATACAGCTCCCCAGGAGAGACCCATGCCAAAACCTCAAATCCAAGCAGCCCTTGAACTGTGAGGAAGATGTGGGGCCAAATCCACATCCAAACCCAGCAGCAGAAACTCTCCTCTAGTAGCTACATGTTACAGACTTCCTACATACCACTGTGCCCAAGGGACTCAGGGATTATTTAGCCTGCAGAACAATCGCTGCTTGAGCTGCAGTGAGTGGCAGAAGCTGAAAAAAACAGGTGATAGATGTAGCATGGTATCCTCCTACCCCTGAGGAAACCCCATCAGCCAATCCATCCAACTGGGTGGTGTTGGTGAACACTTCAGTGGTGTTTGACACCTCCCCAGGAGGCCCTTCCTGGAGCAGAAGCTTAGAGATAAGGCTGCTGAACTTGCTTTCTGTGGTAGAGTGAGATTCCTGCGTTGGGGTGGGACTGTAGGAAGTGACATTTAACTCCGCTGGGTCTAGACAGTAGCCTTCTGGTGACCTATCAAAAAGTACATCCATCAAGTCAATCCCAGCTACTGAAGATGGGGAGGCACAAGGAATATCCCTGACGAGTCTGTAGTTCTCCATCCACTCTTTCAGCCATTCAAGCCTGCAGTCACACTCCCAAGGGTTGCGGAAAAGATAGAGCCTGCCCAGGAAATAGACTGGCTGGAAGACAGAGAAAGGCAGGGTGCTCAGGTCGTTGCTGTTCAAATGCAGCGAGACGAGACTGGTTAAGTTTTCAAAAGCTCCTTCTTCGATGTAGCTGATCCTGTTTCTGTCCAAGTGGAGAATTTCCAGCTCAACCAGATCCTGGAACCAGGTGTGGGACACATTCCTGAGAAAATTCCCACCAAGACTGAGCATTTTCAGATGCCTCAGCCCACTGAAGGAGTTTTCTGGGAAGTCACTAAGTAAGTTGTCATTCAGGTAAAGGTATTCCATTTTCTGGCAATCCTGAAACGCTCGGTCATGAATGACATTTATTCTGTTGTCCTGGAGATTAAGGTACTTCAGCCTGGTCAAGCCCTGGAGAGAATTATAGGCTACAGCTTCTATCCTGTTTCTCTCTAAGTAAATGTGGGTCAAATTCTCCATGCCCCTTATAGCCCCTGGGATCCTTCTGAAATTGTTCTGAAAACAGAAGAGCTCCTGCAGGGCTGGGAGATCTATAAAAATCCTATCTGGGATGTTGAACAGATTGCAGTCAGCCAGGTCCAGTTTGATGAGCCTTTTGAGAGGGGTGAACGTCCGAGTGTGCAGGTAGCGGATGTATTCGTTGTGGGCCATTTTAAGCTCGGTTAAGCTGGGCAGCCCCTTGAAAGCTCCAGGAGTGATGAAAGAAATATTGTTGTGGTTGAGCGACAGGGATTTGAGGGAAGGCAGGGTGCCGAAAGCTCTCTCTGAGAGCAATTTAATGCTGTTTTTATCCAGGTTGATAGAGGATGCTTCACAGGGGAACTCACTGGGGATCTGAACGAGGCCGGCACGATCGCACAGGACAGAGCAGCTCCGCTCCTGGGTACACGTGCAGTTGGTGGGGCAGGAGCGCACGCAGGCCCACACTGCTTGGATGCAAGGGACACAAAGGATAACTGGAAGAAGGAAAAGCACCAGAGCCACACAGGTAAAGGGAAGGGGAGGAGAAGGGGGGATGAAACAGAGGCAATTGGTAAATGTTAGTTATGATTTACACACACATCTCACCAGACCATTAATAATAACTAGCATAAATTTGCTAACTGAGAGCAATGAACTTCCACTGAAGTATCCAAGAGAAGAGTGATTTTTCTAAAGAGCTTAATCACTCTCAAATCCTACTGGATTCCTCCCAAATGCATGACTCGTTTGTATACACACTACCCATGACTCAGCCTGTCTCTGGAGACAGGAGAAGCGGCTGCAGTGGGGGTGGGCGAATAAATCAGTTGGGCAGGGTTTTGGCTCTTGTCTGGGGGCACTGCAATCAGTTCTGCCAGCTGTCAGGGAAGAATAAATAGTTGTCTAGGGAGTTTGATGTTCCGTAATTGGTGCCTATCTTTTTTATCCCTGTGATAAACCCACCCATTATGACACTTTTCCACTAGTCCTTGGCCAGGCAGTTTAGTATAAGAGGGACAATCAGCTGTTATTTGTAAGCTGACCAGCCACCCTAAATATTTCAGGGGGGGCCCAGAGTTCAAGTCTGTATCTCACAAGAGTGCCTGAAATGGTAGTTCTGTTCTGCCCCAAATTTGCATGCTCTGTTCTGCATGTTTCCCCAGCGTCAGGCAGCGTCATGCTAGAATGGTGCTCCGTACATGCAAATGAGCTCTGCTACTTACTAATTGGCTGTATTGCAAGGGTATAGCCATGCTCATGTACCACTAATTAATTCCATCTCTCAGGCAGTCCTGAGGCTGCACTGACCATTGGGGCATCTTTGATACAATTCTATCTCTAGCACTAGTAAATAACCTGCTCACATCACCATGCTAAGGCAGCTACATAGACCTATCTCTGGTTCTGATTCCACTGCTTCTGGTCCTGAAGTCTGTAGCGGGCCTTGGATCTCTAGACTGTCCCTGACTACGTCTCAAGTTTTGGTGCTGAAATGTTGGACATCTTAGTTAAGGGAAGCCATTCCCATGATGCATCTGAGGAAAGGCGTGGGTCAGGAATGTCTTTGGGGCACTTGCTCCTCAGTCTAAATATTTCATAGTAAAGGTGGCCTTCTCTTCCTCCAGCAAATGAGCATGGCTCATTGTCCAGTGCTCAATGTTCGCTGTTGCCTGGACTAACTGGGAAATGCACGGCTCCCTTGCTGTTCTGGCTGTGTGGTTAGGATGAAGCAGATGGATATACACAGATGCAGAGGACAGCAAAAGCTCCATGCCTCAACTCACACAGGAGGCCACTTAGGCCTCCACAGACAGATGTGTGTGTGAAGAGAAGGCCCAGGAAGTAAAAGAGAGAAAGCTAAAAACGATTTTTTGTTTCTGGTAATTGCTCTCTCAGGTGTGTCCCACTTGCTACTCAACTGAGTGCAAAGCAGCATCTGAGAGCTACCGACATAATCACTTGAAGAAAATTGGTTGTATTGCTTCCCACTGAGTAATTTGTCTACTGCAGTTTGTCATCTCTCCTACAGATGCTACTTTTCCATTATTTGGGCATCAGCTTAATTGCTAACCAACTTTATTCTAGCACAGTGGTGTCACATATTTCTTGGGGGGCTCCTGGCTAACAGAATAAGCTAATGGAATATTTTGACTATAATAGTATCTCATAACATGACAGTAATGAAGGAGACCACTCTCAGGATTTGTGCTTTCAACATGTAAAAAGGAAGCTGTCAGATTGAACTGTGTGCAGCTGGATTTGCTCCCCATGAGAGGCTCATGGTGTAGTGCTTGTTGGCTGTGACCGCCCTTACATGGTTTGGTTTTTTGGGGTTTTTTTTAAGACAGACAGCTACTGCTGGTGATCATTTTCCTATCATGGTTAAACCTTAGTGGGTGCCTGTCTTCTGTTCTCCCAGCCCTTTCATGTATTGATCAAACTGTTCTTTGAACCTTCCCCAAGTGTTTTCTACATGCCTAATCCTGTTTAGAGGTGACCTGCCTGAAAGCTTTTAAACGCACGAGTTGTACCCTCTTTTGCTTCTTCAGGCACCAATCCAGGAAGACAAACCTCATGGCAGGCCCCCACCACTGACATCAGTGGATCTCCATGTGGGCACAAGGGCTGGCTGGCAGGTATCAGGACCACCTCGTGTCTAAGGCACATGGGAAGGGGCTACATCCCAGAAACATATGATATGATATGATATGATATGATATGATATGATATGATATGATATGATATGATATGATATGATATGATATGTTTTTCTTATCACAAATGCAGAACCCGTCTAGCCTGTAGACTCCACGGTGACTAGAGAAGTAGCAAAATGGCAGCACTACAACAACAGGAGCAGTACAAGCTACACATCTGAAAGTGGAGTGGGATTTTTTTTTCAGGCTTTTTTCCCCCTTAATACCTATTTAGCTGCACTGACTAATTAATATTTTGGATAATGTCCCTTTTTTAATTCAGTGCCCAAATCCTTTCAATGAAGGCACTGAATATCTCCTCCAGCAAAACAAAAGGAGATAAAAAATAAGCAGAATGAAAAAGGAAAAATTCAGGATTTCTTTAGAAATCATAAAGAATACAAAAGCCTGATCCCTTTCAAAGCAGTCCCTTGTATGTCATTTTGAAGTCTGGTGAGGGATCAGCAACTTTCAATGCCACATGTCCACAGCAGACCTTTTTACTTCAAGTTGCCTTGCAAATGTAAATAACAGTGGATGTCAGGAAAGGAATAGGGCATAGATCACTCTCAAAATATCCACTTCACTGCTCTACCTCTATAGTATCCACCCCTGCCACTGTTGGAGCCAGGATACTGGGCGAGATGGACCATTGGTCTGACCCAGTATGGCACTTCATATGTAAGAATTTCTACTACACAGATGTGTAAAGTGAGATGCAGGGAGATTATGGGTATGTCTAAGCTGCCATCTGATGGTCTTAGTGAAGTTCATAGGGACATACCCACGAAGCTCAGATATTGAGCAGGGTAGCTGCAGTAGCAGGTGGCTCATCATGAGCTAGCCATGCAGGTATTTACCAGCATCCTGGGAGGCCTCTGAAGACCACACCAAGCTAATGCTGCTGTCACTACACTGCTGTTGGTACCCAAGATCACTAGTTAAAAGTAAGGTTGAAAATGTCTGCACCTTTGGACTACAGTGGAGAAATATCCTAAGTGACTGGATCAAGGTTATATAGTAAGTCAGTGGGCAAATTTTTAAGGAGGGACCCACTTTTCCCAATTCCCCATTCACCTTCTAATCACTTGATTTGCTGAAGCAAATGTGAGAGTCCAAATCAAATAAAGTTGTTTTCTAGCCTGCTGAGCTACTAGGAATGATTAGCTCTTTGTGCTGGATGTAGAACTGCTGCCAGCAGCTTGCCACAACACAGAAGTCTGCATTGTCTATTTGCAAATAAATCTCCTTAGTCTGCCTGACATGCAGAATCCCTGACTGGATGCAATCCAACCTTAGCAGACAACATCCTTTAGCCAGAAAGAACTGAGAAGAACCCCTTCTCTGCAGTGCTTTGCCCGGACGTTTTTGAACAGAGGTGTTCTACCCCAAATCACGCAGCCAAACACCACAGACCTTTGGGACAATTCAAAATTTAAACCTGAAAGATGGTCTTGATTTTGCACCTTGAGCCCATTTCTATTCTCTTCTGAAAGTAGATCTATTTTCTTAATTCAAAAAGAAGCACTGGCACTATTCTGCTGCCCTTGTACCTGTCCAACAGAAAGGTCCTCATTTTTCTTTTTCTTTTTTTTAAATAAGTGGGAGAAAAAGGGAAAATGCTTAAGGCTTCAGCAGGAGACAGGAAAACATTTTGCTCCAAACATTTTGTTTCAGAAACATGTGTGCTCCTTAGCTAATCTCTGGTGCAATTCAGGCAGCTGGGCTGGCTGGAATTTACGCCCTATCATCTGACAAGGGCAAACTTTGGGAATTGTGATTAGTGTCAATTTAATCAGATCTGTGTAAAATAAAATGATAAAAAAGCTCTGTTTGGGGACATCACTGAGATTATGGAATAAAAACCCCATTTGGATTGAGTTGATTTAGCTTTTTTCCTCCTTTAAATAATGCAGTCATTCCTTCAGGCCAGTTTTTGCAATAATGAGTGCGAAAGCCAGTGAGACATCCAAGTAGGTTCTCAGTGGCACAAAGAGAAAAATACTCGAAAACATATTGAATGAGCTTAAGACATTCAGAATGATTGGTCTCATCTACTACTACAGAAATAAAACCACTACTCACCATTTAAAATGATGGCAAACATCACCTTGACAATTCACTTGTGGCATTTCAGGCCTGGCAAATAGGGGTTGGGGTATCTAAAAGTACATCAAAAGAGCAGAGATGATTTCAGGACATTGTCATTTACTCACTTTTGTTCACTGATATACAGTCTATGTCTAGAAAAGAAGGATCAGGAAACACGACCCCTTTCCCAGCTGATCTCAGCTTGATCCCTGTTCCCTAAAGTTTAAACCTGTCGATGGATTATTTTCTTTTTCTTTCTCACTGACCTTTTCAGTGAATGCTTCAATGCTATCCTTTACACAGCTTTTCACAAGGACTGGCCACAGCTCTTATCATGAGGTGCACTGCTGAAATATTCCTAGAGGGACAGGAGGAAAGGAAGAGCATCAGGCTGCTGGTGACTGAGCGAAGCGCCAACCCTTCAGATCCATTTACCCAGCAGCATTATTGAACTAGTAATGAACAGCCATTAATAATAAGCTGAACCTTAACAAAATAACTCATTTACCCATTAATTACATTGCTTACCTAACAGGGCAATGGCTGCATTCTCCCTTCTCCTCTGGAGCTTGCCATTAGTCGTACTAGTCCGTCTCTGAAGAGTTGGCATTTTTCCCCCCAAAGCTATTATTTAATGGGAGGAAAATCCTCTGTGTCAGAGGAGGATTAGTGGGGATGGAAAAAATGGGCCCATCCTTTAAATCTCCAAAGCAAAACACAGATTGCTGATAAACC